CCGCCTCTCACCTGGGGCGCGGCGTTGGAGGGAAAGGCTCCTGCTCCCTTCTCCGTCCGCTCTCGCTCTGCTGAGCCAGGGGAGCCCTCCGCCGGCGCCCGAGGCGCGCTCCCGGGAGGTCTCGCTCTCCCCACCCGGGGAGAGGGGTTTCACCGGTCACGGAGCCTTCCCCATCTCCGCTGGGGTGGCCGTGCTGGGCAGGGGTGCGCTGCCGTCCCACCCACAGAGGTGTTTCGACAGACCCCCACCCCGTCCAGGGCAAGGCGGCTGGACCGACGCTCAACGCCTCCGCAGGGGTCCAGCCGTTCCCCTCCTCGGCTTAAAACGGCTGCGAAATTAAACCCAGGGGCATTTTATAATTTTAACTCCATAACTGATTAATTAAGCACAGCTTTGGTACGTCGTCTATCTTGGGACCGAGGCCCGGGAGCACCCACAGGGTACCGGCGGTACACCCTGGCTTTCAGGCCTCCGTGCCAGGCTCAAGGGCTCCTCGGATGTAGCTCAGCAAAGAAAATCGGGAATATTACTACGTACTCACTTTGCATCTGTTTACACCAAACCGCCCCACAACAAATACATATCTGAAAAGCAGTAACTCCTGCTACAGAGGTCAGTGCCTCATTGCTCTGTAGAATTCTGCATTCCTGAATGAAACCAGCTTTTCTGATTCATGTTTTCCTTCTATTCCCCCCCCCCCCTTTTTTTTTTTTTCTTTTTTTGCATGAGTGGAACTTTTGACCAGTTGTTGTTTTTCCTTCCTGCCTTGCCTTGCCTTTCCTCCCAGCAAACAGTCAACAGCAAGTTATTACCCGGAGCGATTACGTGATCCCCAGTTCCATGCCTTGGCGACAGGTCTTGAGCCAATAACGGTCACCGTGACACAAGCATGCGTGCGAGGGGAAGAGGGAGGGCGGCACAGGAACTGCATTCCCCCCCAGACACACTGAGTCAAGCGTCACTAGGGCTGGTGACTTCATTTCTTAAAATAAGGAAACGAAGGTAGTCGTGGGCAATGGCAGCAGGAGACCCATTGTGATCGAGACCCCCCTAAAGATGTGGGCTGTGCTACTCGATTTCTTTCTGCTCGCATTAAAAATTGAGCATGGGGAACTTCCTTTCCCGAAATACTTGTTGCTTTGGAAGAAAAGGGCGACTGGCACACTTGAAGCAGAGCAGGACATACAATTATATAAAGCAGCACGAAGACAGCTCAGATAAACCCACTTAGGCCTTCTAACTTCCTCAGTCCCAAAAACCTTTGCAAATGTGCCTCTCCTAAGAAAGTTGAATTTATGGAGCAGATGAGCGGAGCGCTGCTTTCGCTGTGATAAAGTAACTGGCAAAGTGCAAAGTTTTGTACCTATCTGCTGCTACACAGCCTACTTGAACCCAGTGTTTGGAGGGGTGATGAGCATTTGCAGTCATGTAACAAATTCTCAGGACCTCCTGCTGTGACACTGGCAAAGAGACATCAAGGAAAACTTGAGACATACAGAGACAATGTCTCGACTAAAGCCGTAGCACAAGTTCCACACTCAAGCTGGGAGTGGAGTTCCAAACCCTGCCTCCAACCCTAGCCTCCGTTTTCCTTTGTCCAAATAAACCTGGTCTGTAAGGCTCTCTTTCCGCCTTCATCTTTCCTTCCTGACTTGGAAAATCCGTATCTCCCCCGGAGCAACCATTCTTCCCCCACCCCCCTAAAAACAACGCGCACCAAAATGTGACCTTGTTGATTAACAGTCCGGCCAGCTGCACGCTCAGGAAGTGGAAGCGTGGAGACAAAAGCTGCCTGAGACAAGAAAACAGAAATAGATAAAATCCCCACCAGCGACGCTGACGCGCAGAGATCAGAAAGGCAGAGGATGAAAGGGCAGGAAATGGGTTTCCAATTCCAGGGCTAGCAGGTACCAAAGGCAACAAAAAGCTTGGAAAGGAAAGAGTTTACCATTGAGCTACACTAGATCACGGAATGTCGCGCCCGTGTGTTTTACAGCAGCCACGTGACTTTAGCACTACCAAGCTGTCCAGCTCTGGGCAAGCACTCAGCAACGGCCTAGGAGGCCACAACGCATATAGGATAATTTTGCCCTTTTCACAGAACAATCCAGCAAAACAAAGTGGTTCGGCCAGAGTCACTCAAAAAACACACCTAACAGAATTTGACAGTGTCCTGTCAAACCCTTTGCTCTCTGTTCTAGCTCCACCGCTGTCTGTCACACCTAAATGCTGATCTGAATGCAGTCCCAGCTGCCTTTGACCAAGGATTCTGAGGGAACCTAGTTCTTAATTTCTTGTAACCAGGAATCTCAACAGGCAAACTCAAAGGTTGAATAGGTTATGGATAATGACTCACCCTTACAGATGTCAGTCCAGAGTAAAAGCCGTTCATGAGGACAGGCAACAACGTCAGCAGCTGACCCTAATCTGGTCCTGATCTGGGAGAAGAAATGCAGACCACGGAAGTCCTCTTTTTACCAGCCTGGAAGCAAACAAAACCATCGCCATCCTTTTTCCGAAGGTCCAAATGACTACCGCTCCCAGCTGTGTCCATGTGTCACCCACGTGCTGCGCCTGCTGCGACAAACACAGGTCAGCCTCAGTCAGGTACATCCCTCGGGCTTTTTGCCAGGTGAGAGCATCTGGCAGAGGGGAGCTGAAAGGTCCTCGCTTCCTGCGTTCCATGAGGCCAGCCGTTCCTGTGTCAGCAGCTGCTGACCCACCGATAGCATGGACACCTCTCATGGAGGGACTGAGGACACGCCCCGCATCTCTGCTTTGTTCCAGATATAAGCTGCAAATTCATTTATCTTCAGAGATTAGGCCGAAGAAAGGACTAACTTCACAAGCCTGCCGGACTGATCAGAGCAGACACTGATATTAAAAAAAAAAGTATAAATGCAAATCATCTCTTAACTCCCCCCTACTTCCTACTCACAAAGATCCTCTCACTTCCCAAAATCCCGAAGAGGACATTGGATTAACCTTTTCCAGTGCCTACATACAGCTAGGCAGTACTGTCCTAACAACATTTAAAAATCCAAGTGGACTTGGAAGGACAAAAGTGCTCCAGGGCAAATAATAACTATTCTTCCTGAGTACTTATACAGCTTGTCAAGTAGGCTGAACTCAGACCTATACTGAAGCTAGACTAAGATCAGTAGGTGAGCTGGTAAGTTTAAAGGTAGTTTAGACAGGCACATGCCAGATGTAATGGCTGCAGTACAGCCAAAAATAGTTAGAATCTGGAAAAAAACATTCCAGTTTTCTCCTATGGGCTTTCTGGAGGAGTTCATATCCCTTACTCTGGCCACTGGGTCAATCTGTGACGGTAATCCACTGCTGCCCTTCTCTAATCATCTTCACCATACAGAAAACATGAAAATAACCTGTTGTAGCTGTGGTAACTGGACAGAGAGCATGCAGAGAGCCTCAGCGCTGACACACAGTCAGCACAGTCACCGAGCAGAGGATTACTGCCATGAACTAGAAGGAGCTTTTTTGGTTACTTGGTTAAATAACTGAACTGCAGCCAGGCCCCTCCATGTGGTTGCCTTTCTAGTGCAAGATCAGGCACAGTGTTCAAGTGATCCGAGTATTTACAGGGCTACAATAAACCATACAATTGTGTTGAATTAAAAATATAAATTAAAAGACGTGTGAAAAGCCCCCTGGGATATGCTACAACTTGCATGTTGCTTCTCATACCCCACTGCCCAGGCCTCAACCAACTCATAGGTAAATCCATCAGTGACAAAGAGCATTTACCCTTTGTCCCCTACCCCCTGCATTAACCACCCTTCCATGTCCTCCCTGCTGAGAGCTGGCTGCAGCTTCCTCTGGGGCCCACCATCACAGCTCTTAAATCAGCCAGAGTGATCTCTACTGAGTGAAGCAGGTCACTCCCTTCCCCACCATGCTGAGCTCTTTATCTCTGCCGCCCCTGCTACCCTGGGAAGCTGTGGAACCGGAAAGCGGAG